TACCACTGAGCCACCTTCCCAGCCTAGTCTTTCTGTTTCTATTTCAAGATCCCATATACCCGCTGTGGTTAGATCCCAGAGACCCTCTGTTTCGGGACCTGATTTTAGTGTTTACTCATGGGACTTTCTTTCCAGGAACTCTGCTGACTGTGAATCCTCAGGCTTAACTTTCATGAAGTGTACGTGTAACTCAGTGATTCCCAGCACAGGCAGGAGAGTGCCATGGTCAAAGAGATGGCCTTTTGAGATGGCCTTTTTGAGATGGCAGACCTAGACTGAATTTCTGGCTGTCCTCCTGCTTACTGTGTAGCCTTAGGTAAATTAATTAACCTCACTGTGAACTTAGTCACCTTATCTATAAAATGATACCAGAAGTACTACCAGCCTCTGGCATTCTAGGGTATGGGAAATGAAAGAGTGCATGTTATACCATGTGGCATACTATGAATGCTTAGTGATGGAGTTGGCACTGGTACCTTGCATCAGTAATCCTAGGTACTTGGGAAGCTGAGATCTGAGGATCCCAGTTTGAAGCTAGCCTGAACAGGAAAATTTTGCAAGACTCTTTATCTCCAAGTAAAAATCCGAAAGCCAGAAATAATGTTATGGCTCAAGTGGTAGCGCACTAGTCTTGAGCAGAAAAAAAAAAAGCTATTAGCCAGTGCTCAGGCCTCAGTATCTGCACCAAAAAACAGAGAGCGGAGCACTGGTGGCTCATTCTATAATCCTAGCTACTCAAGAGGCTGAGATCTAAGGATCACAGTTTGAAACCAACCCAGGCAGGAAAGTCCATGAGACTCTTATCTCCAGTTAACCACCAGAAATGGTGCTGTAGCTCAAGTGGTAGAGCACTAGCATTGAACAAAAGAGCTCAGGGACAGTGCCAAGGCTTGGAGTTCAAGCCCCAAGACAGAGAGTGGGGGGAGAGGGGGCGCGGCAGGGAGGGAGTAATTGTTAACTGTTGTTATTGATGATAGATTGGGAACAATCCTAGGCAGTCATTACTACCGATCTCAAGCTGTTAACTAAGTCTAAATCAGAGGATGAGGTTAGGGTCCTTTCCACATCTGAGAATTGTAAGGCAGCAATGCCGCTCAGAAAATGAAGGCAGTCCAATCACTTCTGCCAGAAAGCAGTGCTCTGACAAGAGACTCAGTGCTCATGTCAGTCTTCTGCATTGACAGATGACTTTTGCTACTGTGATCCTGGGATCAAGTTCTGCATCACTCTGTATTTGAATCACTTTATTTAATCCCAATATAACAAAGTCCCCTGCATCCAGCTCTTCATAGATGTGTGTATATTAGGTCTCTCCTAGGAAATATGATTTGGATGAGGCAATCACACATTTTAGGAACAGGTTTCTTTGATGATTTTCATTCTGTCATTGAGTGTTGGTGTGTTTTGTAGGCTCAGGGACATGCATGGTAAGAGGTTCACAAGCAGAGACAGCCTTCATGTCTTTGACTTTATCTTTTTCCCTCAAGTTGAATGCTTATTACCTTTTCTCCATTTTCATTTTTCAGAGAAAATGATGTTGCTGGTATTGATGTCAACATGGGTTGTCCAAAAGAATATTCTACCAAGGTAAACTTATTATTTTGTTGTTGTTATTGGTCATGGGACTTGAACTTTGGTCCTGGGCACTGTCCCTGATCTCTTCTGCTTAAGGCTAGTGCTCTACCACTTTTTGTTGTTGTTGTTGTTGGTCGTGGGGCCTGAACTCTGGGCTTGGGTGCTGTCCCTGCGCTCTTCAGCTCAAGGCAAGCGCTCTACTGCTTAAGCCACAGAGCCACTTCCGGTTTTATTGGAGATAAGAGTTTCACGGTCTTTCCTGCCTGGGCTGGCTTTGAACTGTGATCCTCAGATCTCAGCCTCCTGAGTAGCTAGGATTACAGGCGT